AGCAGGGATGAGGGAGGGGAGCCATGGGACCAGGGGGAAGGGTTTTAAGCTGAAAAAGGGGAGATTTAGGGAGAAATTGTTGACTCTGAGGGTGGTGAGAGCCTGGCCCAGGTTGCCCAGAGAAGCTGTGGCTGCCCCATCCCTGGAGAAGGGGGGTTCAAGGCCAAGGTTGGAGGGGGCTTGGAGCGACCTGCTCTGGTGGGAGGTGTCCAGGGGTGGAATTAGATGGTCTTTAAGGTCCCTTCCCACCCAAACCCTTCTCTAATTCCACAATTCTGTTCTTCTGGCTTTGCCTTACGGCCTCCCCAATGGTCTGAACATGCAGAGTGACCCCAAAAATCCTTGCTACGAGGATTTTTGGGGCTGGTATCACCAGGCCACCAGCATAGGAACCCTCAGAGGGGCGTTATCTTTATCAAGGAGACTTTTTCTCCTTTATATTCTGCGATTCTAAGGATTTTCTCTGCACAAACACCAAATGGGCAGCAGATCCCTCTGTCCTGCCCGTGGGGAACGCACAGATCCCCCCTAAATCCTTCTGCTGTCTTCTCTGTCCTCTAGGATTTTACCAGACTCGGCTTTGGATGAGTCAGTGGCACAAATTAAGGAGCACATCGCCAGGTAAGATCCATTCTAACACGGGTGAGGGTTCGGATGCCTCATCCAAGAGGGGATTTTGGGTGTATTTAAGCTGGTTTTGCTACACTCTTGCGTGGTTTTCCTGAGGGAAGACCCGGGTCCAGCCCTGCTCCCTCCTCTCCTCTTCCTCCTCAGGTTCTCTGCCGAGTGTCAGTCCTGGGATCAGCTCTTACTGCGCTACCAGGAGAGCGCCGAGGAAAAGTCCAGGTGGGGATTGTCCCCTCCCTGTCCCCTCCCTGTCCCCTCCCTGTCCCCTTTTCCCTGCCTTTGGGGCTGGGAAGGAAAAATGGGTGATTTGGGAAGCGCGGGTGGGATGAGGAGAGGGACGTGGACGGAGAAGTGGCCTGAGGACAGAGCTCGGAGGGTTGGGATCGGAGGCACAGGGGGGTTGGTTGGTGGCCTGGGGCTAATGGTGGTCCCCAGGGGGCTGGGCTGGGGCTGGGCTCGTTCAACGTCCCGTTCCATCCCGTTCCATTCCATCCCATCCCGTTCCATTCCATCCCATCCCGTTCCATTCCCTTCCATCCCATCCCATTCCGTTCTATTCCATCCCATCCCGTTCCATCCCATCCTGTTCCGTCCCATCCCATTTCATCCCGATCCATTCCATTCCATCTCATCCCATTCCATCCTGTTCCATCCCATTCTGTCCCGTTCCATCCTATCCCATCCCGTTCCGTCCCATCCTGTCCCATTCTGTTCCATCCCGTTTCATCCCGTTCGTTCCGTTCCGTCCCATTCCGTTCCGTCCCATTCCGTCCCGTCCCATTCCATCCTGTTCCGTCCCGTTCTGTCCCGTTCCATTCCGTCCATCCCATTCCATCCTGTTCATCCCATTCCGTTTTGTTCCATCCCATCCTGTCCCGTTCCGTCCTGTTCCATTCCGTTCCATTCCGTCCCGTTCCATTCTGTCCTGTTCCATCCCGTTCCATCCCATTCCGTCCCGTTCCATTCCATCCTGTTCATTCCATCCTGTTCATCCCATTCCGTTTTGTTCCATTCCATTCCATCCTGTTCTGTTCCATTCCATCCCGCTCCGTCCCATCCCGTTCTGTTCCATTCCATCCTGTCCTGTTCCGTCCCATCCCACCCCATCCTGTTCCATTCCATCCCATCCCATCCTGTCCCATTCTGTTCCGTCCCGTTTTGTCCCGTTTCATCCCGTTCGTCCCGTTCCATTCCGTCCCTTTCCATCCCGTTCCATCCCGTTCCTTCCCGTTCTGTCCCATTCCGTCCCGTTCCATTCCATCCTGTTCTGTCCTGTTCCATCCCATCCTGTCCCATTCCCTTTCATCCCATTTCATCCCTTCATCCCATTCCATTCCATTCTGTCCCATTCCATTCTGTCCCATTCCATTCCGTTCCATCCCTTTCCATCCTGTCCCATTCCATCTTGTTCCATTCCATCCCGTTCTGTCCTGTTCTGTCCCATTCCGTCCCATTCCATCCTGTTCCGTTCCATTCCATTCCGTTCCATTCCATCCCATCCCGTTCCATTCCGTTCCATTCCATTTCGTTCCATCCCATCCCGTCCCGTTCCATCCCGTTCTGTTCCGTTCCATTCCATCCCATCCCGTTCTGTCCCATTCTATCCTGTCCCGTTCCATTCCATTCCATCCTGTTGTCCCGTTCCATTCCGTTCCATCCCATTCCATCCTGTTCCATCCCACTCCATTCTGTCCCATCCTGTTCCGTTCTGTCCCATTCCATCCTGTTCCATCCCATCCCATTCCATTCCATCCCATTCTGTCCCGTTCCATCCTGTTCCATCCCGTTCCGTCCCATCCCGTTCCATTCTGTCCTGTCCCGTTCCGTTCCATCCTGTTCCATCCCATCCTGTTCCATTCCATTCCATTCCATCCCGTTCATCCCGTTCCCTCCCGTTCCAGGTCACCGGGCCCCGGCCCCGACCCCCCCCCGAGCTCCCAGGCCGGGCTCCTCGGCACCAAACCCGACTACGGCCGCATCCTGGAGGCGCAGGGGGAGGCGCTGAGCTCGGTGGAGCTGGCGGTGAGCGGCCAAAACACCCCCCTCCCCCCTCCCGGTAACCGGTTAAACCGGATTTTTCACTTTATTTTTACCATTTTTGGGTTTTTTGGTAGCTCGACGAGCTCCAACAAGCGGCCAATCTGGTGCAGGCTTTCAGCGAGGACAGCCGGCGGTTCTTACAGCGCCTCTCGCAGCAGCTCGGTGAGACGGAGCCCACCGGGAACCGGGGAGGGAGGGGGGGGGGGTTACCGGCCGGTACCGGAGAGGGGGGGTTTAACGGGTGTATTGTTTCCATCCCCCCCGTTCCTTTTCCAGCCGCCAGGACCTTCCGGCAGCTGGAGAACTCTCCCGTGAGGAAGCTGATCGCCGCCCCGCCGGCGGAGAGCTGAGGGTGCGGGGGCTTCGGGCAATAAAGGCGGCGGGAGCCCCCCGGTGCTTCCCCCGGTGCAGCCGCACTTCCGTGTTTCTACGTCTTCTTTGAGGGAGGGTCGGTGGTTTCTTATTGGTCAATGCGCGCGTCGCTCAGAGCGCCCCAGCCAATCGCCGTAGCCGCGGTCTGCACCACCCAATGAGAAGACGGAATCCCCATCGCTTCCGCGTTTGAAGGACGGCTTGAGAGCGGTGTCTTGTTGCTTATTGGCTGGCGCGCACGCCACTCGGAGCGCGCCAACCAATCGTCGCAGCCGTAGCTGGTAGACGGCCAATGGGTGCCCAGAGGGCGCGGCGGGGGGCGGGGCTCCGCCACTCCCGGGGAGTAAGCGGCGGCCATGGCGGCGGCGGAGGAGGAGGTCCCGCTCACCGGCGTCGGTTGGGCCGCTTCCCCCGAGGCGGCCCCCGCCGGCTGGAAGGCGGTAGGGAACGGAACGGGGGGGGACGGGCAACGGGGGAAGGCATCGCCTCCCGGTCCCACCGGAGGCTGACGCTCCCCGTGCCCTCAGATCACCGTTACCGTGGACGGCGCGGCGGCCAACCTGGGCAAAGGCTTCGGGCACAAGAGCGGCGGGTTCCTGTGCGTGAGCACCGGCGGAGCCCAGGTGCGGGGAACGGGACCGGGGTGGGGTTACCGGGAGACCGGGGAAGGGGACACACACACCGGGGGTTCCGGTACCGACATCCCGTCCCGTCCCGTCCAGGCGGCTCCCGCTTCGGTGGTGACCGACGTTGTGGTGCTGAGCGACCGGAGCCCGCAACCCCCCGGTTACAGCCGCGCCCCGGAGTTCCCGGAGCCTCGTAAGTACCGGACGAGGGGAGGGGGGTGCGAAACGGGGCCACCCCCCCCGGTTTCTGCCCCGGTTCTTTCCTCTCCCCCCCCCGCAGGAACCGGCGTTTCCCGGAAAAAACGCCTTTACGTGAAGCTGGTGCCGGTGGAGGCGGCGGAGACGGCGGTGCTGGACATTCAGCTCAGCCCCAAGAGCAAAGCCCTCCCCCCCTACATCAAAATCGGGTAAAGGCGGGGGGGGGGCGGTCCCTTCCCTCACCCCCCCCTCCCCCTTTTCACGGCAAAAACTTCACTTTTTTTAATTATTATTTTGCAGGGAAATGGGCAATTTCGCCCTTTGGTGTAAAAAAGGGCCGGTTTCCAAGCGGGGCCCCCCCGTGCCCCCTCCCCGAAACCTCAGCGCCGCCCTGGGTCACCTCTCCCTCCACCCCCAGGACCGAAAGTAGGTCCCACCTCATTCCTTCCTTAATTAATATTAATTTGGTTTTCCTCCTCCCCAGTCTCACCAGTCCAGGACCTGGGAATGAATCCGGCTGGTGCTGGTGGCATCTCCATCCCGTTGTCCTTTCCCCTCTTCACTGAATTTCATTGAATTTCACTGAATTTTTGGAGTTGGAAGGGACCATAGAGATCATCTAGTCCAACTAGATGAAGCAGGATTGTCTAGAGTTTGTCAGAGCATGTTCCTCAGGAGCATCCAGGTGGGGCTTGAAGATCTCCAGAAGAAGGAGACTCCACTAAAGGGGACTCCACACCCTCCCTGGGCAGCCTCTTCCAGGGCTCTGCCACCCTCACTGTGAAGAAGTTTCTCCTCATATTTGAGTGGAACCTCTTCTGGTCCAACTTGTGCCCGTTGCCCCTCGTCCTTCTCACTGGGAACCCCTGAAAAGAGTCCGGCTCCATCCTCCTTTAGATCCTTGGAAGCATGAAGAAGGTCTCCCCTCAACCTTCTCTTCTCCAGGCTAAAGAGTCCCAGCTCTCTCAGTCTTTCTTCATCAGGGAGATGCTCCAATCCTTGAATCATCTTTGTTGCCCTTCGCTGGACTCTCTCCAGCAGTTCCCTATCCCTCTTGAACTGGGGAGCCCAGAACTGGACGCAGGATTCCAGTTGTGGCCTCCCCAGTGCAGAGCAGAGGGGGACAATGACCTCCTTCCACCTCCTGGCCACACTCTACCCTACGCAGCCCAGGATCCCATTGGCCTCTTGGCCACCAGGGCCCATTGCTGGCTCCTGGAGAGTCTACTGTCCACCAGATCCTTCTCCTCAGAGATGCTTCCCAGTAGATCCACCCTCAACCTCAACTGGTGCCTGGGGTTCTTCCTCCCCAGCTGCAGGACCCTCCACTTGTCCTTGGTGAACCTAAGGAGGTTCTTCTTCCTTCCTGAGGAGGTTCTTCCTCATCAGGACCCTTCACTTGTCCTTGGTGAACCTCAGGAGGTTCTTCTTCCTTCCTGAGGAGGTTCTTCCTCATCAGGACCCTTCACTTGTCCTTGGTGAACCTCAGGAGGTTCTTCTTCCTTCCTGAGGAGGTTCTTCCTCATCAGGACCCTTCACTTGTCCTTGGTGAACCTCAGGAGGTTCTTCTTCCTTCCTGAGGAGGTTCTTCCTCATCAGGACCCTTCACTTGTCCTTGGTGAACCTCAGGAGGTTCTTCTTCCTTCCTGAGGAGGTTCTTCCTCATCAGGACCCTTCACTTGTCCTTGGTGAACCTCAAGAGGTTCTTCCTTGCCCAGCTCTCCAGCCTGTCCAGGTCACCCTGGATGGTGGCCCAGCCACTCCGGGGTGTCACCCAGTCCTCCCAGTTTGGTATCATCAGCCAACTTGCTGAGGGGACATCTCAACCCCTCCTCCAGGTCATATATTGACCAGCACTGGACCAAGTATGGACCCCTGGGGGCCACCAGTGGTCACAGGCTTCCAACTTGAACCTGCTCCATTCCTCATGACCCTTTGGGTCCTGTCCCACAGCCAAGTTCTCCATCCACCTCCCTGTCCCCTCTTCCAGACCACAATTCCTCAATTTCCCAACGAGGATATTATGGGACACGGTGTCCAAAGCCTTGCTGAAGTCAAGGTAGATGATTAACTAATTAACACTATTAATTAATTGCTGCAGGGGCAGCCTCCGCCGCGGCGCCGCTCAGCACGAAGCTCTCTCCGACTCCTCCAACATCTACGGCCTCTCGGGTAAGAAAAGCAGAAAAAAGCAGGAAAAACGAGCCTTTTTCCTATTTCATTTAAAAAATATCAATCCAAATCCAGCCAAAATCACGCTCTTCTTCCTTAATTATGTTTTTTTTTTACTTAAAAACTTCCTGAAAGTTAATCTGTGCTAAATTATTCTCACCGCCTTCGTTCAAACTCTTCTCAGGGTGCTGAGGTGCCCCCTCCTGCTAATTAAATAATTAAAGCAAATTAAAGAATTGCTCCCCAGCAGCTTTTTGGAGGTTCCTAAATGCTCTTTCCCTTCCCCCCAGCGATGGACGGGGTCCCCTTCACGCTGCACCCCAAATTCCAGAGCAAACTCGGCGCCGGCAGCACCGTGAGTCTCCCTTTAATTAACCCCCTTTTCTCCCTCCTACCTCCAAATTCTGCTTAATTAGTAATTATTCTCTCTTTTTTCAGGCTCTCCTGGCCGAGCTGAACGTTAAATCAGTCGCCGACATCGAGAAGGAGGTAACGGGGCCGTTTTCCTGGGGGTGGGGGGGGGTCAGATTTGGAGTTTTTCGACCTCACTCGTTAATTATTCCTTTTCAGTATAATTATCCTTTCGTGGTGGAGAGAACGGCCGCTGCCAGGCTCCCCCCTGGTGTTTGTTAACACCGGGGGGGGCACCTCCAAGGACCCCCCCCAATGTCTTGGGGGGGCCTCTGGGGGTGGGGGGGGGGTCAGATTTGGAGTTTTTCGACCTCACTCGTTAATTATTCCTTTTCAGTATAATTATCCTTTCGTGGTGGAGAGAACGGCCGCTGCCAGGCTCCCCCCTGGTGTCTGTTAACACCGGGGGGGGCACCTCCAAGGCCCCCCTGATTCCTGGGGGGGCCACACTCCTCGCTCTCTCCCAGCTGAAATTTCAGGGGACACCAAAGAATCACAAATCCAGCCCAGAAATCGCTCGGGGAGAAAAATAAGGGTGGTTTTGATTTTTTTTCCTTTTCTTTTCTCTTCTCAACCCCCCCAAAAATATTAAAATCTTAATTGTAATGAGTTGGGAAATCAAAATTCCAGGCAGCAGCACAACGGGGAGAAGTTCTTGGCAGTGGTTGGGCTCCGGCGACGTTAAAATTCGTTATTCTGGCCATTCCTGAGGGTATTTTTGGGGTTTTTTGCATTTTTTTCATGGTGGAAAAACCTCCTCCTCCCTCGGCCTCGCGTTCGCCGTTTCGCTCTGTCTCCTTGTTGCCCCAAAAAACTTCCAACCCCACAAAAAAAGAAGTTAAAAACCAAAAAAAAAAATACCCCAACCCCACTTTTCAAAATACAGCAGATTTGGATTTTTTTGATTTTGTTTTTAGTTACCAAATAAATTCTCTAAAACGTTTTCCTTAAACCTTAGGGCAAGTCACAAAACTCCCCCCCAAGAGTTGGTGGCCCGGCCCGGAAAACATTGCAAAAAAACCAAAAAAAAAAGTCACTTTTTTGTTGTTGTTGTTGTTTGTTGTTGATTTTGGGTTTCACGGAGGTGATTTCCCACATGATTGGGAAGAAAAGTTCCACTTTTTCCTGGGGCTGAACCGGCTCAGAGTTTTCATGGTGAGGAGAAGGAAGAAGGGGGTTGGTTTTTCGGGATGTTTCCCCCCAAAAAGTCCCTCCCACCCCAGGGAGGGGGGGACGGGCAGGACCTTGGAAGCTCTTTCAAGAAGGCACTTTGAGCTTGGCGCTCCCCAAAAGGAACTGAAGGATTCTGTCCACCAACAAGGCCAGGAAGAAATCGGCCAACAAGACCTTCGTGATCACCATCTTGAACTGGGGGGAGACAAAACAAGTCGTTATTATCCCCCCCCCTTACTCCAAATTTCTCCTTTCTCCCCCTCGGATTCTCTGTCCCCCCAAAATATTGGCCTCTGCTCAACCACGACCTGAGCTTCTGCCCCTTTGGTGGAAAAAGGGCTAAATGGTAAAAATTTCACAGTATGCTGTAAAAATAATCATCATGGCAGGATGGTTTGGGTGGGAAGGGACCTTAAAGACCATCTAATTCCACCCCTGGACACCTCCCACCAGAGCAGGTCGCTCCAAGCCCCCTCCAACCTTGGCCTTGAAGCCCTCCAGGGATGGGGCAGCCCCACAGCTCCTCTGGGCAACCTGGGCAGAGGGTCACACCACCCTCCCAGCAAAGAAGTTCTTGCCCAAAATCTCATCTCAATCTCCCCTCTTTGATGCCCCGTCCCTGGGAACCTTCAAGGTTGGGTTGGACAAGGCTTTGAGCCACCTGGGCTGGGTGGAGATGGCCCTGCTCATGGAATCATGGAAGGGTTTGGGTGGGAAGGGACCTTAAAGACCATTGAGCTCCATCCCAGACACCTCCCACCAGAGCAGGTTGCTCCAAGCCTCATCCAACCTTGGCCTTGAACCTCTTCAAGGTTCTCTGGGCAACCCCACAGCTCCTCTGGGCAACCTGGACCTTCAAGACCATTGAGCTCCATCCACGGACACCTCCCACCAGAGCAGGTTGCTCCAAGCCCCCTCCAACCTTGGCCTTGAACCCCTCCAGGGATGGGGCAGCCACAGCTCTTCTGGGCAACCTGGGCCAGGCTCTCCCCACCCTCAGAGTCAACAATTTCTCCCTAAATCCCCCCTTTTTCTCCCCCCTTCTCTCCCTACTGGGGACCCAGCCCAGGATTCTGGGAGATTTTTGGGCTCCTGTTGAGCTTCTCACCCCCCAACACCCCCAAGTCCTTCTCCTCAGGACTACTTCTCCATCCCTTGCCCCCCAAGCCTGTGTTGACCCCCCAATACTTCAGCAGAAGCTCCCACATCCTCTCAAGTCAAGCTCTTTAGGTCCCGCAGAGCTCCCCTGAGTTATCATCTCCCTGATATTTTGCTAAAACCTTCAAAATTCCTCCCAAAGTCATGTTCTCCCCCCAAGGAACCGCGTGTAGAAGTCAACCGCCGTCTCTCACCTCGGTGGGGATTTCAACCAAACCAAACTGCTCGTTGAATTCGGGCGAGGAACCCGTGAGGAGCCCCACGATGGCAAGTCCCGAAAGGAGGATGCTCCAGAGCAAAGGTTTGTTCTCCCTCAGACTCTCCATGAAAGGGTGGCCCTAAAAGACAACGAGGAGAAACCCTGAGGAGAAGTTTTGGAGCTACTACCATCTGGGACACTCAGCTCATTGCAATTTGGTGCAAAAAAGAAGGTTTTCCCCACAGAGCACCAACAACAGGGAGTTGGCGATGAAAGAACAACATTATTGCACCTTTAATTATCAAATCTCTTCTCTGGGAGTGCTGGAGAAGTGATTAAGAAGTAATTAGAATCATAGAATGGTCTAGGTTGGAAGAGACCCTTGGGATCATGGAGTCCAACCATCTCCCCTACTCTCCAAAGTCCTCCCCTACACCATGTCCCTCAGCACTGCATCTAAACGGCCCTTAAACACCACTCTTTGGGTGAAAAATTCCTTCCTAATGTTCAATCTAAACCTCCCCTGTTGGAGCTTGAAGCCGTTCCCTCTCGTTCTGTCACTAATTACCTGTGAGAAGAGACCAGCACCAACCTCTCTACAGTGTCCTTTCAAGTAGTTGTAGAGAGTGATGAGGTCTCCCCTCAGCCTCCTCTTCCTCAAACTCAACAGTCCCAGCTCTCTCAATTGCTCTTCACCTGGATTTGTTCTCCAGGCCCTTCCCCAGCTTCGTTGCCCTCCTCTGCACCCGCTCCAGCACCTCCAGATCTCTCTTGGATTGAGGTGCCCAAAACTGGACACAACACTCGAGGTGTGGCCTCACCAGTGCTGAGTACAGGGGCACAATCACCTCCCTACTTCTGCTGGTCACACTATTTTTGATACAAGCCAGGATGCCATTGGCTTTCTTGCCCCCCTGGGCACACTCTTGGCTCATATTCAGCTATTTCTCAACTAAAACCCCCAGGTCTCTTTCCTCCAGGCAGCTCCAGCCACACTTCCCCCAGCCTGTAGCGCTGCAGGGGGTTCTTGTGGCCCAAGTGCAGGACCTGGCACTTGCCCTTGTTGAAACTCATTAGCCCAGTGATCCAATCTCTCTAGATCCTCTTGTAAAGCTTCCCTCTCCTCCTGGGACTCACCACTCCTGCTTAACTTGGTGTCATCTTGCAAACTTGCTGATGTTCCACCTTATGTCCTTCTCGAGATCATCAATAAAGACGTTCAACAGAAATGGGCCCAACACTGAGCCTTGAAACACACCACTTGTGACTGGCCACCATCTGGACGTACATCCATTGAGCACAATTAAACACTAATTACCTTGTAGTTGATGGCGAAGGTGGCCATCTGCATGGCCATGGACATGATGTAGACGGTGCTGTTCACAAGGCTGGGCTCAAACTCCTTGTAGAGATCCACGAATTCCTCCTGCCTGGAAGGGAACCCAACAGGAGATGAGGGGCTTGGAATCACCAGGAATATTCATCTTCCCTCACCCCAGCCCCCCCCTGACCCCAGTTTATTTAAATTTTATTGGGTAAAACCAGTTTGTTCCCAAATAGTGAGATACTGCAAGCGCAGGTGAATCATTGGGTTCTTTTTTTAACACAAAAATCAAGTGGGGAAAAAAATGAGGGGATTTTATGTGTTTTTCTTTATTAACTTCCCCAAAATCCACCTCATTGGGGTTCCTTCTATTTCCCTTTCCCCTGGGGGCAGTAGATATTGGAAACCCAACGCCTCAGACCATATTTCCACACCCTGCTGAGCCCCACGCGCTCGATGGACGACTCAAAGTTGTTTTTTTCTGGCCACATCAAACATATTTTACCCCTCAAAGCTCAGTGGGTTTGAGGAAGCATCCCCAGAAAGGGCCCTGGGGTGAGGGAGGCTTCTCTCCACCCTCCTGGAAGTGGGAACCAGGGAAAATATTGGGGTGTTGGGAGGGAAAAACAACTCACTTGGGGTCGCTGAGAGCCTGAGCCCCCCGGTAGAGATAAACCAGGCTGAGGAAATGCACCAGGAACTGCAGCAGCACCGTCAGCACCGTGTAGAGGTTAAAGATGTTGGGCAGCGGTCGCTCCTTGGAAAGAGTCTTCAAAGGCTGGGGAGGGGAAAAAAAAAAGCAAACGGGGTGGATTTGAGTGGGTTTGGATCATCTGGAGGCAATTTCCGGGCAGAATCTGCTTAATGTTTACTTGGGATTCCTGCAGGAACATCCTGAAGGAATCCCATGTTAAGAAAAAGCCTCCCAAGAATTCCACTGTCAAGAGAATTAAAGGCTGGGGAGGGGAAAAAAAAAAGCAAACGGGGTGGATTTGAGTGGGTTTGGATCATCTGGAGGCAATTTCCGGGCAGAATCTGCTTAATGTTTACTTGGGATTCCTGCAGGAATCTCATGTTAAGAAAAAGCCTCCAAGAACCCCTCTTTCAAGAATATCCTCCAAGAACCCCACTGTCAGGAAAGTCCTCCAAGAACCCCTCTTTCAGGAATATCCTTCAAGATCCCACTTTCAGTAATTCAGGAATGTCCTCCAAGAATCCCTTTGTCAGGAAAGTCCTCCAAGAACCCCACTGTCAAGAGAATCCTCCAAGAACCCCTCTGTCAGGAAAGTCCTCCAAGAATCCCTCTTTCAGGAAAAGCCTCCAAGAACCCCTCTTTTAGGAAAAGCCTCCAAGAACCCCTCTTTCATGAATGTCCTCCAAGAACCCCTCTGTCAGGAATATCCCCCAAGAAGCCCACTGTCAGGAATGTCCTCCAAGAACCTCTCTGTCAGGAAAAGCCCCCAAGAACCCCCATTTCAAGAATTATCCTCCAAGAACCCCTCTTTCAGGAAAAGCCTCCAAGAACCCCAATGTCAGGAAAAGCCTCCAAGAATCCCACTGTCAGGAAAAGCCTCCAAGAATCCCTCTTTCAGGAAAGTCCTCCAAGAACTCCTCTTTCAGGAATGTCCTCCAAGAATCCCACTGTCAGGAAAAGCCTCCAAGAGCCCCTCTTTCAGGAAAGTCCTCCAAGAACTCCTCTTTCAGGAATGTCCTCCAAGAATCCCACTGTCAGGAAAGTCCTCCAAGAATCCCTCTGTCAGGAATGTCCTCCAAGAACCCCTCTGTCAGGAATGTCCTCCAAGAACCCCTCTGTCAGGAAAGTCCTCCAAGAAGCCCTCTGTCAGGAATGTCCTCCAAGAATCCCACTGTCAGGAATATCCTCCAAGAATCCTTCTTTCAGGAAAGTCCTCCAAGATCTCACTGTCAGGAACATCCTCAAAGAATCCCACTGTCAGGAAAGTCCTCCAAGAGCTCCTCTTTCAGGAAAAGCCTCCAATAATCCCACTGTCAGGAAAGTCCTCCAAGAACCCCTCTGTCAGGAAAAGCCTCCAAGAATCCCTCTGTCAGGAAAGTCCTCCAAGAACCCCACTGTCAGGAA